CCAATTCTTTCGTCAGCTCTGTGAAGCTGCCCTACTAACAATCAAAAGTGATGCACACATCTCCCTAGACCTTGACAGCTTCTCTTTATTTTACTTTTAAACTCGTTAAGGCAGACAGGACTAAGTTCCTTGTCAAGATAAAACTTGTTAACTGGGGTCATGCTATCACTGCTTTATAGTCTTGGGTACCCACTAACCTTCAAGCAGCTTCACAAATGTGTCCTGCTTCATAGCCATTGAAATTTAACCAGTGAGTCTTCAAGTGATACAGACTGACAAGACAAAAAAAATCATATTAATTCTTTATTTTTCTCTCTCCAGATTCATAATAGTGAAACTGAGGCAAGAATTTAAATCACTGGAGTAATTTTATTTTTATATTTTTCTAAAGCAGGAACTTTTCCTTTTCATCAGGCCAAGAGAAATAGATTATTATAAGATTATTATAAGAGCACTGCACACAAAGTGTATTCTGATATCATCTTTCAGATTCACCAAAGAACATTTGTCATCACTTCTGATGGAATTAAATTGTGGTTGCATCCAAGGCACTGGTTGAGGAATAAAAATGTGGAAATATCTGCAGACAACTCTTATTGAGATCAGAGGATTTAATGGTATGGAAGTAACAGCAAAATAAGGGTAGCATAATAAATCTAAATCCAAAATGAAATTTGGGAAAACTTGAGTACTAGTAAATTTAAATATTTTACTTCATAAAATTAAGTTATTCTTTTTTGGTAAATTTTTAGGTTTTGTTATCAATAAGGAAAATGAGCCTTGAAATGGAAATGTGCTCAATTCCTCTCTGATTTCCAATTCCTGGTCAAACTGCACTATGAAAATTTTAGCTAATCAACAAGTATCTCTTCTCCCTTCCATTTCTGGCCTCCTTTTTCCCCAAACCAGTAATTATGCTGTCAGTTGCCTCCCATTTCTCTCCTAGGTATTTTCTCAAGGCTTATCCACAGTACAGAAATTTATGATACAAGGAGCTGTGCTGGGCTTCTAAGGGTGCTTGTAAAACACTTCACATCCATACGCCAAAGTGCTCCAAGTGGTTTGTATTTCTGCCAAAAAACACTTGGACTTTTCTTGTGTTCAGCAAGGGCTAAACTTGGCTTGAGGCCAGTAGGGACAGCACTAAAGGAGATAGGATGCAGCACTCATGCTGCAGCCCTACAGAGGCACTCTGTACATTCCCAGAATCCATCCCCTGTCAGAGCTACACTGGGAACTGGGAGATGGCTGCCCAAAGGGCTCTGCAGCTGAAAAGCCTTGGGGATGTAAGCAGAAACGCTCCTATTCAGAACAGCAGTCGGCAGGACACCTCTGGATATTACAAATAGTTAGCATTTAAATCAAGGAACCGAGATAAGCTTAATAAGAACCCTTCTAATTATCAGGGTATTAGTAAGGAAGTGAGAAAATGACACAAGAAATAGAAGGGATTGCTGCTGCTCACCCCCTGCCCTGCCTGTCGTCCTCAGCCATGCATGCAGAGCTCTCCCTACTCTCCTTTCAGTCAAGATCTAGAGAAACAACAAGAAGAAAAGAGGGAGGAGGGGGGAAACTCACATTCAAAATAGCAGCAAAGAGCTCTTCTGCAAAGTGTGTCTGGAGAAGAGATACAAAAAGATAAGAGATACAAAAGATACAGCTGGCAGCTTGCACTGCTTTGCTGAAATAATGAGAGTAGGGTTGTACAAACAGCTACCTAAAATGGGCATTATTAGGTTTTTTTTTTTATTGGGACTGAGAGGGAGAGCAAGGACAAGCAGCACTTCCTTGTGCTTTGTTCTTGTCACTTGACAGCTTTTTTTGTCCTTGAGATATTCTCTCAGGGGGCAAGGAGTACACATGGTTACAAGTCACTCCAGGATTGGGAGAGGAGGGTGAAGCTCAGTGGATCAAGGGATATGTGTCTGCAGCAAATTTAATTGTTTAAAATAATCTAGAATAGTTTTGCCAAGAAAGCAAGATTTAATTGTAGAGAATAATTTAAACTAAAATTAGAAGGGATTTTAAGTGTCATTACTTAATTCCCCACACAACACATTAGGCACAGGACAGGGAATCCTGATTTAACCTAATGATGAGCAGACTGACCAGATTTTCAAAGTGAAATAATGGGATTCCTGTGGGGGAAAGAGCTGTGCTCAGTCACAGAGATTTTGAGAGAAAAGCAGTGCAAAAAAGGAAAAGACTGCCAGCTTCCCTTTTCCCATGCTGTACTGCTCTACCTCTCCTCTACTCCATTTGTGAGCGGCACAGATTGCTCACTGGACGAGCCCCACGACAGCAAGTAACAAGCAGTAATGTTGATGAGGACAGGCAGCAATGCTGGGTTTGTTGTGCTGGTGAGATTAACTGGAGAGGAGGCAGAGCTGAGCAAGGATCCTGTTTGACCATGCAAGAACACCCTGTCCAAGAGCTGATGGCTGCATTAAAGGGAACAAGATACACCGGGAGATACCCTTCACACAATGTACTCACACAGAGTCAGACCCACCTCCTCACTGTGTTGTGCAGGCCACTCCACTAAAAAAGCCTTATTTCACTCTCCAATGGATTAATCATATTATTTCAGTGATAACTATCAGAAAGTCTTCATCTTGTGTGTGCTGACATCTCATGTCAATCTCAACAACTCTGAGATTTTTCAAAAAGCAAAACTGTTGGATTTTGGCCAGCCCTCTGACTCAGTATCCTTGCCTAAGGGCACAAGACATCTTCACCTTAACAGTAGCTGGGACATAGTGAGGGGCACTTCAGCTTTTTCTTCTTTCATTTGAACCAAGGCCTGCTGACCTAGCAGGTTGTCTGTTAGCTTTATGAATCATCCTTCAGAGGAAACTTTCTTATTTCTCTTCTCTGTTCTCCCTTTCTCAGATGAGCCTCTCCTCCCAGGCTCTCAATTACCACAGACATTCTCATTTTCTCCAAAATCACTGCCCCCTTGTCTGCCCAGGAGACACCTGTCCACGTCCTGGACTGGTGGTGGTAAATACCTCCATACGTTTTACACACCTTATATTATCTATCACTTGAGTTGTTGCATAGCATATTTGTACATGTTGGATTATAAACTTTTCCCAATTAGTAATGAATTTTTTGGGGGTTTTTTTTCTGCTCTAGAATCCCTCTTTTGCACATAAACAGTGAAAATACTAAAGCCTCTACACTGAACTAAGGCAATTCAATATCCAAAAATAATAAGGCCAGGCTTGAAATAAGGCTTTCAGTTTCTACAGCAGATGTAAAACACATGGAGGACGGATGGGACAAGCTGGAAATATGCTATGATAGTGAGCTCACAAGTAGATAGCACCTCTGAGACTCATTTGGTATACAATAACACACTAATGCCATCCTAGAAAAATACAACTGGGGTGTGGGCTTCCCTGGATCTTGTCCCGCAGGGAGACCCACTGCTGGGTGATCAACAGAAGCCCAGATAGTGTAATTGTACAATCCACAGAGAGACAGGAGGACACTCAGGTTGCTGAAATTCACATGGGTTTATTGAAGGTGAGATGAAGGACACGGACAGGAATAGGAACACAACCACACACGGGGGAAGCAAACTCTGTGAGCCCTCTCTGAGGGAGAGGCCAGGGTATATAAGAAGGCTAACCTCAGTGGTTATCTAAGGGGACCAGTGGAGGAACCGAGAACAAGATCTTTCTAGAACAGGGGGATAGTACAACCAGCAACAGACATGAACTGGGGAGGGTACAACATATGATGGACATACATTCATTTGCATGGGGAAGGCGGGAATCCTGGGACAATACCTTTTCTTACACAGCCATGGTTTCCCATGGCATTCCTGGATGATTCTCCCGAGGGCTGCCTCCCACACTGGGGTATTTAAAAATGTACTTAGACACTACATTTGCTGTTTTGTTTTGCCTCCTGTTTGTAAAATCCAGATCTTGCTGTTCTGCTCCCCACAAACACAGTGCTTGGTCTGTTTTGCCTGCCCAGACAAACATTAACAACAACAACAACAGTAGTAATAATAATAATAATAATAATAATAATAATAATAATAATGGTCACAGCAATAACAATAATCACCATTAAATTTACCAGTTCAAGACTTAATTACTGTAACCATACTTTTTTGATCTCACTAAAGTCCACGTTATTTCTATTTGCTTACAATGATATTACTGCTGAAATCATCCTTGTTTACACCAACACTGGTGTTCACACCAACGCTGCAAACATTCCTGTTTGAATGCATTTGCCTCCCATTTCTTTGCTATGCTGACCCCCAAGTCTGCTTCCCACCATTTTATCTGACTTCAGCATTTAGCCACAATTAACTCTGAGTATGTTACATCATCTTTGGAAATCCAGACCTCCCACTATTTTCACTGTGCTTACTGTAATGCTCCAAACACAGACCAGGTCCAGTCAGGGCTCTCTCATAGACCATCTCTTTCATTTAAGTTCTGCTAGAGGGTCTTTTAGGCAAAAACTTGGACTTTGCTAGCTCAGCCTGGAGAAAGGAATGCTCTGGGGAGACCACAGAGCAGCCTTCCAGTACCTAAAGGGGACCTGCAGGAGAGCTGGAGTGGCATACAGTGGGCATGTAGTGATTGGACAAGGGGGAATGACTTCAAACTGAAAGGAGGTAAGTTTAGATTAGATGGTAGGAAGAATATTTTTACTGGGAAGTTGGTGAGACACTGGAACTGGTTGTCCAGAGAAGTTGTGGATGTCCCATGCCCAGAAGTGTTCAAAGCTGGGTTGGATGGGCCTTTGAGCAGCCTGGTCCAGTGGAAAATGTCCCTGCCCAAGGCAGGTAGGGTGGAACTGGATGATTTTTATGGTTTCTTCCAACACAAATCATTTTCTATGAAAAATGTTGTTCTGCTTCAACAAGAGGAAATGAAAAGCAAAAAGAAAGAAAAGACCAATGTTTTAGCCTGCACCAGCTGCTCCCTGACAGCAGTTAAGATTCACCCAAATAAGCTGCTGATTTCTCCCACACTTTCAAAGGCAAAATATTTTAATGAAAATGCCAGTGAAGACCAAGCCTGTATTATTTCTCATCCAATTCATCACTGTCAAAGAATGGTGCCTAATGGATACAGAAGGGGTAAGCAGAAAGAAGTCTGTATTTTAAGCTGCATTTTGAAGCAAGTTGAAGCATTTGCAGTAAACATTTCTTCATATTTATCGGGAGATCTGGATGAAAGAGAAGGAAACATAATCAGGACACAGGACGTTTCAATGTTCACAGAATCAAGGAATCTAGTTATGTGAGTCTGACCCAGGGATATGAAAGCATATATAAGAGAAATTAGACCAATCTTTCTGTGATGCACTGTAAAATGTCCAACATTAACAATTTTGCTACACTTCTTGAAATGAAAAAATTTGATTCAGAATTCAGACAAAAACATTTTTCTCATTTGAATAACAAGGATATCAGTGTTAGGATGCCATATGTTCTTACACCAGAAATGCCTCAGAGACTATAATAATTTTCAAAAATTCTTCCTAATAGACCATTAGAGTAACAACAGCTTACCTCAGCTAAGTACAAAGTTGTCTGCTTCTTTTTACAAGGGAAACAATATGTTTCTCAGAAAACATTATGCTGTTAGTATAGTTTCCCTGAAGACAATCTGAGGGTCACCATGAAGGATGTTATATTGATACAACTGTCTTTGTAAATGTTTTTTAATCTCTAAGTGTCCCAGGCAAATTCAATATTTGATTAAGAGAGAGATACTCAGTTATTTGCAACATTTACTACTGCCTGAGTAAAACAAAATGCCACAACAATATTGTTGCAAGTACTGGAGGACTGCAGAAATGCCTTCCAAGGACACAAGAAAGACCAGTGGTCCTCAGAGAAGCTACAGGCATAGTTCCCATTTTATAATCTATTTTTCAAAAATTTCTCCCACTTTTACTGCTGAAATTAGAAAAAAAAATAAAAAGGTTGTTTCTTGTAAACTGAAACATTTTGTCTGACTTAAAAATATATCTTTCACTTTGGTTTGGATGTTCTCATTATCACATTTTGCATTGCTATTTTTTACTTAATTTTTTAAGACAAATACAAATAAGCATTTACCAAACATTAAAATATTTTAACCTTCATCAAATAAAATAATAAGTCAAATTCAGCAGAACTTTCTGAAAGGGTTTAGCCATTCTCAAAAAAGCATTTTCCAGCAAACAGCATTTGACAAGCATTCTCAACTCAACATATCTCCATTGCTGCTTTCTGAGCTAGCATCACTGAGAACAGCAATTCACAGATTATCAAATATTATGAAACCAGAGATGCCCAAAACATCAAGAGATTTGGTCAGTCTCCCTTACTCTTCAGCTGGCAGCAGAGGGAATCCTGCCACAATGCAGTTGGGATAACAACGGATTTTCAGCAAACTGGGCTGCTGTGCCAAAGCCCTGGAGATCTTCCTGACCGCTGCTGTCACTCTGCTGCTGAGTGGGCGCCAGTGGGAGGTCAGGGGTGAAGAACACAGCTTGTCCCCACATCCATCGCAGCAATGAGCCTCCCTCCCCGTGACCACCCTTTGTCCCACCTCTGCCCATCCCAGTGACAGGAGAGGATGTTGGCCCAGCCCCACTTTTTCTGCCCTCGCGTAGCATAACTCTGTTTTTGCTATGCAGCTGAGGAGCTGCGAGCTGGCGCTGCGCCAGGTGTGCTGTATTGCCATGCTTTGGAGGCTTTCACAAGGATGAAAGAAAGCATTTAGGGAGGTTCCAGAAACGATGCTGATGGCTGCCATGCTAATGCTTGTAATGAATTCTAAATTGGTAATGGGACCACTTATGGATAACTAAAGGCTTATTCACTCCTCTGGATATCTGGTTTTTTTTTCCTTTACTACTCTTTGCTGAATTTAGTGCCACTATTCACTTGGCACTTTCTCTTCTCCATTTTTTCCAGTTCTTTTACTTTTCTACTGTCATTTCTCATACTGTGCTATTCCTCTAAAATTATAATCTGTCAGGCTCTGCATTTATTCTAGTGGCCTTACTGCAGCAAATCTATGCCCTCCTAATCTCTAGGTATCATTGCTAGTTCTTTTTCCCATACAGAACTTATCACTCAAGTTGTATGATTTTAAAACAATGCCATATGGATAATAACATTTCTAGGACAATAAAATTTCATTTTACTTCTACTGAAAAAACAAACTTCATTCATACCACCTTGGGATGGGTGGTATAATGGCAAGTGGTAAAATAATAGGTGGGACAATAACAAAGGATTGCATTAACGGGTAGCAATCATAAATGACACAGACCTGTAGTTTCTGGCTGATGCAGTTTTAAATGATGTTAGTGTTGATTGTAGTGTGTCTTTTTGCCTTAGGAAATATGTGTTAAGTATAAAGATTTGTAGTTAAAATTCTGTGAGGCGCAAGACTCCTCTGGAACATCTGTCATGTCAGCAGAACTGCTAAAGTGCAACTCTGGTCAAAAAAAATGACACTATAAAAATTACATCTATCATGTACCCTATTTATTTTCCCTTGGTGATTTCCAGATTAAATCTGCTCAGTTTAAAAATAAAACAGACTTTTTTTTACTGCTTTTTTATCCAACCATCTATGTTGTCTGTTCAGCTTCTGCCTAAAAAAAAAGAAACCATGTTCCTTCTATTCCATGCATCATTTTCCATTCACTCACAACAAAAATTCTCCAGCTAAAATACATGTTATATTTACACGGATATGAAATGAATCAGAACAAAGCATATATCACTCACCTTTCAGATTAAAGTAAAACCTGTTTTTTTTTTTTTTCTAACCAGTAAGCCACAAACATGTATACATGACAGGGAGTGATCAAACTTGACATTTTCACAACAGCAAACTGAAGAATGTTTCACACTAAATACATAGATAACTACATACTACACATTTATGCCTCTCTCTCTATATATATACAGACACATATATATGTGTATATATGTATGCATGTAATACACACCTGTGTACTTCTACACTTACATATTTGGATATTCTTTCAAGAATTGTCCTAATCATAGGCTGTCAATGATATTTTATATCCCTTAAATACTTGTGCTGATACCTCCCTAAAATGTCCTTCCACATTTAAGAAAATTTGGGAAAAAGGACAATACCAGCCTTTACCATCACCAAATGACTGCAGCCGTGCACTACTTTGTCTGTATTGAAAAACATTAGGATTATTTGTATCATTTCCTACCTCTTTCCTATCTCTCCTATTTACTCACTCGTACTTCATTAACTTTGTTTTGATAAGCTGAATTTTGTCAAACTGTGTATATTTTCTATTTATAAGAGATAACACAGTTACCTAGTCCTTATTATCACTCCATAGAATATGAATAATCATGTTATAAAAGATGCTATACCACAAAATGGATTTGGCTAGTTAGCAGGTATTTTTTGGCTAGTTAGCAGGTATTTTTTCCCATGGCAAAGAAATAATAAATATTTGTATATTTGAAAAACAAAGTAAAAAACAGCAAAAAACTACCATAATAATGCTGCATTTAAAATACCAGGATTATGGAGAAAGCAAGAAATGCAGGGAAAAAGATGATATTTCAAGAAAAAAAATTAACTCTACTTTGTCTTCAGCATTAATGGCTGAATGACAATCAGATTATCTCACTTCATGAATGAAGTATAGCTAAATGATGGTGAATCAAAGCAAGGCAAAGGTCATGCAGTTAAACAGAATATACTTTGTGGAGTGTACTTAGCCCTGTTTGAGTACATTTTGGCCAAAAGGAGATGGTCAACCTGACTCAGATTTGGAGGAGTACTTTGATTGTACCAGATTTCTCCACAACTTTATTTGTGAAATGTCTTTTCTATCAATAGTATTTAATGATGTAAATATGGTGGTGGTTCATCCCTCCATCACAACCTAGAGGAAAATGACATCGTCATCCATTATCATCACAACATTATTGCAGGAAGTTATCTGGCCAGGAAATTATCAATCCTTGGGAAATACTACTACTACTACTACTACTACTACTACTACTACTACTACTACTACTATTACTACTACTACTAATCTTAAGCACACATCCTCAATAATGTAATCTGCCATATGTACATTCAATCTATTTTTCACTCCTTGTGCTGGGTTGCAGTCTTTATTTCGCAGACAAGATTTGGGGTGGAGCCAAGGTAACTGAAAAATCACCTAAAGCTCTCAAATGATGACTACTGGGTGACAGTATTATTCTTCAGACATAAGGGCAGTTTTATGACAGAAGTAAAGTTTGTCTGTGAAGGAGACACAACACTTTAGGGGTGTCTGCAGGACTATCGATTAAGCTACCACATGAAATAATGGCCTTTACAAATCTTGCAACTTTCTTCTACAACTGCATATGATCAATGTTAATAATTTCATTTAATGTAGTGCTGGAAGGTGAAGGGGAGAACAGGAGCTGAGATAGAATTTAAGCCTCAATTTGTCTATATCAGTGGTTGGCTTACAATATGGTCTTAATGTATTTGTGTCAGTTAATAAATTGCTATAAAAATTTACAATAAAATTGAGTTAATGTTGACAGCATATATCTGAAATCTATACTAAGACATATTCTTACACTGTTAAAAATTAAAACTGTATAGAAAATAGTTTAATCACCATGAAAAATGTCAAGATTTTATAATCTCTTCCCACGCCAAATCAAGAAAAAAATTAAGATCTCAAGAATATTCAGTACAATCCAGCTCAATTTAAACAATTAATTCAACAGAATAATAAATTTCAACAATCAACTTATTTAAAATATTTAATTAATTTAAACATTCAATTGAAAAAATTATGACTCAAAAAATTATTGATTCTATTGTTTTATAGACGGAGCTTTGTTTTGCAATTTTTTAAACTACCAATTTCTTGCCAAAACAGAATCTTCCACAGGAAGTTGTTCTGCTCAAAAATCATGCTCAACAAATACCTCTGTTTTTCTGCCCAAAACCACCATACATGATATAGCCAAAACAGAGCTTAGAAGTACAACATGTACATAAATAAAAATGCTAAAAATTAGTTCTAAAACCAAAATATCAGCTATGGACAACAGAGGAAACAAATAAACGACTTACTGGTCTATGATGTCGAGTGAAATAGTGCAATAACCCCAGGTCATGATTGAGGCATTTGTCTGGATCTTCACCTTCGGTGGAATATTTATTAAAATAAATGACTCCCCAGAACACATAAAAGTGCCTTTTTCTTCCCCTTTCTGGTAAAACAGGAGCCCATGTGGCTGAAATGTCCATGTTAGATTTCCTCACCACTTGCTACCCTTTCTGCATAATCCTAGCACATGCTCTCCTTGGCCATAAATACTCTCTCATAGTTGTTCTCAGCACACTCTGTTTAAATGCACACCTACACTGCCAGTCTTCCTTATCCTGTTCTCCTTACCTCTGCTATTGTTTGAACTATCAATGAAAATACAGAGCTAAAACTTTATTTCATTAGAAGCAGGTGCTTTTTCTTAGTAAAAACAAGAATTATTCCCCATCAAAATGGCTGCTGCTCCCCACTGCCTCTAGTAACACTGATGCTAAGACATGTATAAAGACAGAGGCTTCCTACCCTGAAAGAGGAAAGGGTTTTTGGAATGATGTTCGTAAAAAGGAATTAGATGTTGAAATGTGTATCTGCTCAGATAAGTGTAGTCATAGATTTATTCTGGATGTACTCCAAGCTAGGAAATTGTGCGTGTGCTTTGGCTTGGCAGCCAGAGAGGCAAATTGGAAGAGTGTTAATACACTCTGCTTTTCAGCTTTCTGCTCCAGGTACAGCTCTAGACCAGGCTGACTCATATTTGGTAAACTCAGAAAGAAAGAAGGGAAAATAGTAGGAATATCTGGTATAGTTGACCCTCAGCTACGAACAAAAAGATATTAAGAAACAAGTTCCAAAATTTAAAAAAAAGCCCCTGATCTGGTAGGAAATTTATGGCAAACCTCACTGTAATGCACTTATTCATAAGTAGCAGCATATTAGCATTCACAAGTAGTAAAGTTAATATTCATAAATAACATCATGCCATCTTAAAGTAATTAAAGGAATTTAAGTGGTGAAATTCTTAGGGTTTTAACATGTTAGCTGTTAGACAACTTAATGATAGCAAGAACTGTGGCTCAGCTTTGATTGTCAAGTTGTGAGACAGAGAAGATCTCACTGCACGTGCAAGTGGGGACATTGGTGGGATGCGACTTCAGAGATAACAAACAGCAGCCTCAGAGTGACCAGTCCTCTTAATAACCTCCAAGGTAACCCCACAAAAACCCATCTTACATCTAACTTATCTGGGTGGCTCATAGCTTGATCATCCTCCCCTCTTCCACTCCTTACTGTGAGACATGGGGATCTGAGAGCCCTTAGATCACTATTCCTCACCTATTTCTTGCACATTCTCCTTTCCTCTGCTACATTAGATTCCATGGACATAGAGAATAACAAGCAACTCTTGACATATTTGAAGTTTGTAAACATGGCCTTCCCCTGTCTCTTTTC